CCGCCCCCCCCCCCTAACAGAATATCCCAGTTGTGCCACTGTATTCCATTAAAGATTTCTTCATTCAACTGAACCGTGAGAAAATGTTTCCCCAATACTTGAGTTTGCTTTTAGGAAACTAGTTAGAACTAGGGTTATAACTTTTGCACAATCAATTTCATTCATGCCTAAATGCCCCCCAACCCCACCTTCTGCTCCTCCTTAACATTTTTCTTATGAGAAATAATTCCAATTTAGAGTGTCATCGACTGTTCGTTGATTAGGAAAAAAAAATATATTTGTAAACTGTTAGGAAAGAAATAATTAGGAAATAGGATTATAAGAGCTTTAAATGAACAAACAAGTGTTTTCTTCTTTAATAATTCAATGAAGATAACAGGATAAAAGCAGAATCGGATAAAATAAGTTTTACAATATATTAACTGAAAATAATAGAAATGAAAATTAAAAGTGTCGAAGAAAAAGGATATGAACGCTTGCCACAAACTCTAATGATTTAACCGTTGCAATCTATAATGATCATAGTATGAAATTACAAGGCTCTACAAAATCAGGTCGCAAAGAAATATGGATTAAAAAGTTCAAAGTGGAAGTGAACCTTTGTCTCAAGTTGAAGAAAAATCTGAAATTGTATCAATTAAACCTTCAACTTTCTTTCGTCTGTAATGTTTTTATTATTTCCGATCAATTACCTGCATAGTAATAAGTAGGGGGTCGGGGGCAAGGGGAGGGGGGTCAATGCAAGAAATATTTGATTGGTCTTGAGGGCGTGGAGGGGGGGGGGAGGGTCCCCCTCCTTTATGAAAAATGTATAGCTTAGACTGTCGTTCAGAGTAATAAAAACGAATGGAAAAACGAAATGGATCGTTCAGAGAAATAAAACAAGTATTGTTTTCTAAAAACGAACAAAAAACAAACGATTTAAATCATTCAAACGAACTTTGAAAACGAAAGTGTTTTACTGAACTAACGGTTCTATGTGACAGAGTTTTTAATAAACAATAAGAACAAACCATTCTACTAACCAAAAAATTTTACTGAACGAACGATACATTTAGCGTTTAAAGAGATTATCCAATCTTTTTACTTTTTGAATTATTTATGTTAGTATGCATTTTGTTGTTGTTTTTGTATTCCCACACTACAGAAATAAGGGTCGAATCTAATGATTTATTTTTCCGCTGAAAATAGAACAGGTTGATCATAAAATTTATATGTATATATGATTCCAATTGATTCCCAGTGGAAGAAGAGCAGCGATAGAAGGTTGGTCTCCTGGCAGTTTACCATGGTGTTAATAAGAACTGATGTGATACGTCGTAGGACTGTGTTTGGAGAAGACGGAGGAACAGGGAAGGGTTTGCTCAATTAACATGTTATAAAGGAATTGAGTTCTTGTCAAAATTTCTGATTTTCTAATCCCTATATCTAAGCAACCCCATGTTTTAGACCTTTGATGTTTCAAACTATGAATTCTGATAGATTAAATTATCTGAGTTTGCAATATCAAAGGTCTACACCATCAGGTTAAAAAGATATAGGGATTAGAAAATTTTATCTTGTGGCAAAGACTCAATTCATTTGGTTCTTAATTTAAGATAGAAGGCAGAAAATAGAAACAGAGCCGCCATGCAGGATCTATTGTAAATTGATAATTTGTTTTGTAAGGATTGAAAGTGAGACCCGGAGTGCTTCAATTAATCTTAATCTAAAGTTGAACATCAAAGTTAATTACTAATAAAAAATAAGCTTGGAAAAGTTGTTAAGTGATTGATTAATTCTAAATCTTCAAAATGTAATGTAAAGTATTAATAATTCAATATTCTTAAACACTTGAAATTAAATAATTCGAATCTGAGGGTTTTCATACAGTTTTGAATTCGTTATTCCTTGTAGACGTGTAGACGTTAATTTTAAAGTGACATGTAGAAGTAATTTTACCAATTTAAGAGTTGTATGTTCTAGTCATAACGATGCTCTTTAAATCTGCATAGGGAAGATATTGTTTTTTTTTTATCTAAACAACATTTGAATTCTTTACATTTCGTTTCTTCTTTCTGTCGCATACATCCGTATACATTACTTTCATTGATCAGAAACCACAAGATAAAATTAGCCATTTTTAGATTGAACGATTCTGATATCTTCATCGTTCTTTCTCAGACAAAGGTTTAAATGGTACGATTGTGAATTAGGATCATGCATATAATTACATAGGCATATTAAACACGTTAAACTAAAGAAAATTGAAATTGAAATCTTTAACTTTTTTCATATTTTTTTCCCCCAAAACTCCTCTTATTGACACGCTATTGAGAAGAAATGTTTTTAATTTATTATAATTACCCGGATCAGGGCACTGAGTTTTTGCCACAAAATCAATTTTCTAATCTAATATCTTTGGAACCTGATAATGTAAACCTTTAAAATTTCAAACTACTTGATCCAGCACAATTCATAGTTTGAAATATCAAAGGTCTACAACATCGGGTTGAAAAGATAACGGGATTAGAAAATCAAAGTTTGTGGCAAAAACTCAGTTCCTTTGCTTTTCTTCTACTCGTGCGTAAAATCAAAGCTAAAGGAGCTACAAGGTTACAACGTTGAACTAGTTGTGTCGCATGAATATTCTCCTTCTGTCAAGTTTGGAGTGTAAAATCACGTTGACTGTTCTGTTTAGAACAAGATTAATTCGTAGCTTAATTCTCTTTGTGTGATTTACTGTTAGCTGAGTGGATGGGTTCCAACATGAAATATAGTTACTGAAAGCTTTGTTATATTAACACAATACATTCTAGTTACGTATCTGCAGGGAACAATGGGTAATTTCATTTTAGTTTGATAGACTGAATCCATTATAAATAGCTATTATATAAATTACATAAATTAGCTACTAGCCTACTAATTTAATATAAGATCTAAAACAAACAAAAAGAGAGAATATTATAGAGTATGTAAGAATTACTAAAGAAACTAAGTTATTGCCACAAACTCAAATTTTCTAATCCCTATACTTCTGCAACCGGTTGTTGTAAACCTTTTGATATTTCAAACTTGGACTATTTAATCAAACATAATTCATAGTTTGAAATTCAAAGGTCTACAGCACTGGGTTGAAAAGATATGTTATAAATAGTTCGTAGTAAATCATATTCGTAACAATGCACTGCGTGCTAAGATTAAATTATGTTGTACATTGTTTGTAAATCTAAATGCGCTTGAAAATAACTACTTGTTCTTGTAATTACGTTCATTACGCCAAATAAACGTCAGTTGAAATAATACTCCACTTTGCTTACGGTGTGACAGTAATTTATTTCCTCGGTTAACGAAAAGGAGATAGGAACCTGGGGTTCGAAATTGAGTTGTACCTTGCAAAATATATACCTGAGAATACAGATAGAGTCGTATCTAGATTGTGTTGACTAAAGTATTATTGTGGAACCTTGAGTTTAGGATTGAGTTGTATCTTGTAAAACAGATACCTGAGAATACAGATAGAGTCGTATCCAGATTGATATTGACTATGGTATTATTAAGGAACCTTGAGTTGAGAATACAGATAGAGTCGTATCTGGATTGATAATGACTAAGTTATTTTTGTTGAACCTTGAGTTGGAGATTGAGTTCTATCTTGTAAAACAGATACCAAAGAATACTGATAGAGACGTATGCGGATTGATAATGACTATGGTATAATTGAGGAACCTTAAGTTCGAGATTGAGTTGTACCTTGTAAGACAGATACCTAAGAATACAGATAGAGTCATATCCGGATTGATATTGACTATGGTATTATTGAGGAACCTTGAGTTCAAGATTGAGTTCTATCTTGTAAAACAGATACCTGAGAATACAGATAGAGTCATATCCGGATTGATATTGAATATGGTATTATTGAGGAACCTTGAGTTCAAGATTGAGTTGCATCTTGTGAAACAGATACCTAAGAATACAGATAGAGTCATATCCGGATTGATATTGACTATGATATTATTGAGGAACCTTGAGTTCGAGATTGAGTTGTATCTTGTAAGACAGATACCTGAGAATACAGATAGAGTCATATCCGGATTGATATTGACTATGGTATTATTGAGGAACCTTGAGTTTAGGATTGAGTTCTATCTTGTAAAACAGATACCTGAGAATACAGATAGAGTCATATCCAGATTGATATTGACTATGATATTATTGAGGAACCTTGAGTTCAAGATTGAGTTGCATTTTGTGAAAGAGAAACCTAAGAATACAGATAGAGTCATATCCAGATTGATATTGACTATGATATTATTGAGGAACCTTGAGTTCAAGATTGAGTTGTATCTTGTAAAACAGATACATGAGAATACAGATAGAGTCATATCCGGATTGATATTGAATATGGTATTATTGAGGAACCTTGAGTTCGAGATTGAGTTGTATCTTGCAAAATAGAAACCTGAGAATACAGATAGAGTCATATCCGGATTGATATTGAATATGGTATTATTGAGGAACCTTGAGTTCAAGATTGAGTTGTACCTTGCAAAATAGAAACCTGAGAATACAGATAGAGTCATATCCGGATTGATATTGACTATGGCATTATTGAGGAACCTTGAGTTCGAGATTGAGTTGTATCTTGTAAAACAGATACATGAGAATACAGATAGAGTCATATCCGGATTGATATTGAATATGGTATTATTGAGGAACCTTGAGTTCAAGATTGAGTTGCATCTTGTGAAACAGATACCTATGAGAATACAGATAGAGTCATATCCGGATTGATATTGAATATGGTATTATTGAGGAACCTTGAGTTCAAG